GTGTTCATGCGCTACAACAACAAAGTAGTTTCTGAACTACTCATCAGTTAATCATCAGAAGAACGAAGACAAGTGATTGATCTCTTCCAAGCTTAATACTTCAGAATCAGAAGTACGTCATTAGAAGATAAAGATTAAGAAACTTAGTCAAAAAGGAAATAGTATAATAATAGTACTACTCAAAGAAGTAGTTCTCCCACTGACGTACATTATCTACTGCAAGTAGCATGTATAGGAAAGTAACTTTTCGTACTGTTCCAAACCACTCTTGAATATATCCGTTGGGAATCAATAGTTAGAAGGAGAAAAGACTTCTCTATCCTTTCAATGACTCTTTTATTTGAAAGTCTATAAAATGAGAAAGATCAAATAAAGAAAAGCTGTTGGAAAGCCATGGATACATACACTATAAGAGTTGTTACGCTGAACATGCTGAAGTTAACCATATAAGATGAAGATGAAGAATTTTACAAGATGTTATTCAAACTACCAATCATATACATCTTGGAAGAATTATGAAAAAGCAAAGAGTTGTTGCTCATATCTTACTTAATGAAGAAAGAAGATGAATATGAAGAATTCTGCAAGATGTTATTCAAACTATCAATCATATACATCTTGGAAGAGTTATGAAGAAGAAAGGAGGTGTTGCTCATAGTTTGATAAACAAAGAAGATGAAGACAAGAACACTACAAGATGCTTCACTTTACTTAGATTATATTCATTTTTTTAGAAATATGCAAAACATAAGAGTTGTTGCTCAGATTGTGTTATTTCTTAAGATCTTCATGTAAATTGTTTGTACACAAGAGTTGTTGCTCAGAATTATGTCAAATAATATTTACTTAAATTAGGAGTGATCTGCTTGATAAGAAGAACTCATGTAATCTTAAGAAAAACAATTATGTTTAGAATTGGTTGGTTCCTCAAGTGATCGAGTAAAGATTAGAAGACTTGAGAAGACGTTGGTTGCGGTCATCGTAGATGAAATCCTATTATAAGGGACCAATTTGGTCTCAAACCTTTTTGGGTCAATGATTGTTATATCTCTTAGGGGACCAGGAAGGTCAGAATTCTTAAGAGATCACTGACTGAGGGTCATTGTGATAAATCCCTCATAGAAAGATTAAGTTGATCAGATATCTAATAGGTTCGATGATCATTATATTTCGTGGAGATCACTGAACATATCATTATGTTGTTCCTTGAGTGACTAGTGTTAGTCAGAAGACTCGAGATGACAATTGTTGCGGGCCATTATGAAATCCTGTTAAGAAAGACCATGTAGGTGAGATTTCTTAAGGGGTCAATGGTTGTTGATCATTGGTTGATTGTTAGTCACTGGCGGGTAGCCCGTGCATCTGTAATCAGTTTGGTTATAGTGGATTAAGTCTTTGTTGAAGCCAAAACCACCTGAGGAGGATGGATAAGAGTAGCCTATTTAACGGTGAACCTGGATAACTGAATATGTCTCTTTATATTTATTGAATTTTATATTCTTTGATATTTCAATCAAATAATTTTCTAAAGGGGAATATTTTCTTAAAATCCAATTCAAACCCCTCCTTTTTCTTGTGTTTTTCTCTATCTCAATATGTTCATATAAACAGTGAGGATCGGTCTAAACTTGACCCCAAGTCAAAATAGTGCATCTTTATTGGTTATAATAAAGGCTTATAGGGATACAAGTTATGGGATCCGATTAAGAGGAATATGGTCTTCATCATATATGATATATTTGATGAGAAGTCGATGTTGAAACAGTCAGATGTAACAGTTGTGCCAGATACTAAGGTAGAAAATTATTGTACGGGCAAGATTTAGGTGGACATTTAGGAGCCACCAGTGAGTCCAAGGCAGATTGTAGCCCTACAGTAAGATGAACTAGGCTTAAATGGAGTGCAAGATTCAACATGCGTACAAGATTATACACTTGTGCGTGATAGAGAGCCTTATCGTATTATACCCTCAGTGAGATATGGGTTTGAAGACTTAGCAACATATATTCTTCTTACCAGTTCAAGAGACCCTTCTACCTTTTGAGAGGCTATGGCTAGCTAAGAGAAAGATAAGTGGATAAGAGCTATGATGGAGGAGATGAAGTCCTTGAAAAAGAATGAGACATGGGATATTGTCCAGCTGCCATAGGAAAAGAGAATTATTGGTTGCAAGTGGTTGTACAAGAAAAATCCAGCTGTAACAGAAAAAGAAGGCGGAAAGTTCAAGGTTCTCCTAGTTGCAAAGGGTTATTCACAACATAAGGGGATTGATTGTGATGAAATTTTTAGTCTGGTCGTTAGACACACTTCCATCAGAGCAGTATCGGTCCTAGTAGCCAACAAGAGTATGCATTTAGAACACATGGATGTGAAAACAACTTTCCTCCATGGTAATTTAGAGGAGCATATCCATATGGAGCAACTAGAGGGATTCAGTGATACTGGACATGGTAGACTTATTTGTAAATTAAAGAGGTCTTTGTATGGCTTGAAGTAGTCTCCAAGATAGTGGTATAAGCACTTCGATTCATACATGATCCAAATTGAGTATAAAAGTTGTGATTATGATTGATGTGTTTATGTGAGGATTCTTGATGATGATTCTTTTATTTTTCTATTATTTTATATTGATGATATGTTGATTGCTGCCAACCATTTGCATGGTGCAAATGAGTTAAAGATCAAGTTGGGTAAAGAGTTAGATATGAATAACCTGAGTGCTCCAAAGTAGATTCTTGAGATGGAAATTCACAGGAACAAAGAAGCTAATAAATTATGGTTATCTCAAAATCTATGTTGAAGGTGTTTTGAGTAGATATGACATGAGCAAAGTAAAATATATGAGTGCTCTATTGGCGAATCATTTTAAGCTCTCTTTAGAATAATGTCCAAAGACAGAATCAGATATTGAAGATATGTCTAAAATTTCTTATGCTAGTGCAAGCGGTTGTTTGATGTATGTTATGGTTTGTACTAGATCGAATTTGGCACAAGCAGTTAGTTAAGTGTACAAGTTCATGTCCATGTCAGAGAAGCAGCATTGAGAAGCAGTCAAGTGGATCCTAAGGTACTTGAAGGGTACAACAAATCATTATATCATGTTAAACATGGAGCAGGGTGTACCATTAATTGTGGGATATGTGGATTCTAACTATGTAAGTGATCTGGATTGTAGAAGGTCTACAATAGGGTATTCCTTTTCTCTTACAGGGGAACCTATATGTGGGAAATCATCAGTTCAATCCATAGTAGTTATGTCTACAACTGAGGCAAACGTGACAATAGCTAAAGTTTCCAAAGAAGCATTATGGTTTACAGAGTTAGTGAAAGAGTTGGGTGTTAAGCAAGGTTGAGTTCAATTGCATTGTGATAGTCAGAGTGATATCTATTTGGCGAACAATCAAGTGTATCATGCTAGGACCAAGCATATTGATGTGAGGTTCCACAAGATCAGGAATTTGTTAGCGTCCCAACAGATATTACTTCAGAAGGTTCACACTTCAGAGAATCCAGCTGATATATTGACCTAGTCAGCCACCAATGACAAGTTCAAACTCTGTTTGGACTGATTACATGTTTCTCAGTTTTAAGCAAGAGGTGTACCTCCCTACTTTCTAGGACAAATGATTATGCAAGAAATCTTCATAATGGTTTGATATTCGCCAAGATGGAGATTGTTGAATATGTCTCATATTGTTGAGATAACTATAGGTTGTTGAGATAACTATAGGTTGTTGAGAGAATAACTGGGATAATTATGGGTAGAAATAATTGTTTGTTGAGGGAAGTAGGGATTGAGGTTTTAGATAAACTATAACCTCATATTATATATATATATATATATATATATATATATATATATATATATATATATATATATATATATATATATATATATATATATATATATATATATATATATATATATATATATATATATATATATATATATATATATATATATATATATATATATATATATATATATATATATATATATATATATATATATATATATATATATATATATATATATATATATATATGACTTGTAACACTATAATCAATATGCGATTCACAAGACATAAATAAAGGGAACTATAGCTACTCTTTAGTCGCAAACGTAGGTAATTTAGTCGAACAGTGTGAACAAAGTTTTTGTGTATTTCTCTCTACTCTGATCTGTATTTGTGTTACTATTTTAACAGTTGTTGTATCTTTTGTTTTTCCTTATAGTACTCATTGTGCTAAAAGTTAAATAGTATAAAACATAATACTTGTTCTAGGTTGTCCGCAATGCCTAATGCGAAAGGCCCACAACACAAGAACGAAGAAAGTGGATGCAAGAAACATGTGTTCTCTCATAGATAACTCTTTCCTCTGATGCATCATTCATTGTCCAGATTAATCAGACGACTGTTTGCATAGTGCGTCGCATCCTCACGGGCGATTTTAGCACTCTCGTTATATAAAGAGAAAAACATGTCATTCTTAAATATTCAAATGTCTTCTCACTTTCAAATCACATATATTTTCTTATATTCAGTGACTTGAACATTGGAGTCTTAACTTTGTCCACCTCGCGCTAGCGTGTCGGAAGTCCAATGCCCATCTCAGATCCATCCCACCATTTCAACAACAATTATGATTTCAAATAAGAACAATATTAGATATGAAGAAAAATAAATTATTAAAATAAATTATTAAAATAAATTATTTATTGAGAGATTAAAAAACTAATCAAATGAAAACGTATATCATAAATTGAGGTAATATATATGTATATGACCAGAAAATGCAGTCATAAACGTGCATTGACTATTATATAGTAATTAAATTAAAATTCAAAAAGAAATTCTGCTAGACTTTCCCACACAGAAAAATCGTCATATAAGCCAGCTAACATTGAGCTATACTCTACCACATTTTCTCTCTATCTCTCTGTCTCTCTTCAAAATTCAAACTCTCTTTGTGACTTGGTATATTCAGTTTTCTTATTAATGGCAGAAATTTTGAATGAAGACCAAATTGTTGAGATCAAAGAAGCCTTTGGCTTGTTTGACAAAGATGGAGATGGTAAATTTATACTCTTATTGTTTGTTTGTTTTTTTTTTATTTTTTGTAAAAATATAATGTTCTTGCATAATAATACTATATGATAAAAAATTTGTATGATAGGTTGCATTACTGTGGAAGAACTTGCTACGGTAATTCGGTCCTTGGATCAGAATCCAACTGAGGAAGAGCTTGCAGATATGATAAATGAAGTTGATGCTGATGGCAATGGAACCATTGAATTTGTTGAGTTCTTGAACTTAATGGCCAGGAAAATGAAAGTAATTATCCCTTTTAATTTAATTTCTTCAATATCATTATATATTAATGTTTTCTAATTTTGCTTTTTTTTTTTGTTTTTCTTGTTAATTAGGAAACTGATGCTGAGGAAGATCTGAAAGAGGCTTTCAAAGTTTTTGATAAAGATGAAAATGGATTTATTTCTGCTACTGAGGTATTAATTTTTCCTCTAATGGGTGTCATGAATATTTATTTAATATATATTTTTATTACAATATTATATACTATTAAGGTCACATTAATTTCACATGCACATCTCACCAGGGGCAAGGACAGTACTTTGTACCTTTCCACAATCTATGAATATTAGCTGTATGGTTTAGTGCATGCATTAGGGTTTTAATATTAGAGTGCTAAATACAATTAATATGAAGAGTATCCTTTAACTGGAAAAAAAAACGATATTATTAGGTTAAACGTCAACATCATTACACGTTGTGTGAGCGAATTTAAGAGTCTGTAAATCTTAGCTCAATAGATAAAAATCGATATTGATAGGTTGAACGTCAATATCACTCTGTCGGAGTTGTATGATAGAGTTTTAAGATTTATGACTGTTTCGTTTATATATTAAAAATTAATTAATATATATAAAAGTGGATTGACTTATATATATGTTAAATTATTGTGTATTTATGCAGTTGAGACAAGTTATGATAACTTTGGGTGAGAAATTAACTGATGAAGAGGTGGATCAGATGATTAATGAAGCAGATTTGGATGGTGATGGCCAAGTTAACTATGATGAATTTGTGAAGATGATGATGACCATTGGATGAACAAATTAAACTCTCAAATATTTAACATAAAATCATTTCATTTGTTATTATTCAAATTTGTTTGGTTCCTTAATTATAATTACATCTTCTTTTGAAGAAATAATAAATGTTTCTATTATATATTCTTTGTTTGTTGTGTTCTTTTGTAGTTGTAGTCCATTATGTGAATAACCAACTCATTAGAGTGACATCTCAGCTACACCATTTGATTTAATTTGTTTAACTCCAACCTAATAATTTATTTTTTAATTCAAGTTTAATACTCATTTAATTGGGTTTAAGCTAGTTAATTAGGTTTATGAAAATCAATCATAGAAATTCATCTGCCTTTATTTTTTTGCCTAATAATCTAATGATAAAAATATCATCTATTGAAAATATATAAGATATCATAAGTTTAAATTAAATATTTATAAACTGATATCTCTGTATAACTATCAACTAAATTGATTTGATTAAATATTAATCGAAGGCAGGTTAATGTTAATGTTAAATGTGAACACTTTTGGCTCATTTTCTTGGACTTTGACTAAACCAACCATTGGTTAGATTTGACCACATGATTTATGACCAGAAATTATATGGGGTGAGTTTGTCATTTTCTTGACTGCTAGCAGGAGTAGACTTTTTCTCATCCTTAAGAAGTAAGATATAAATTTAAAGGGTCCCCTTCATATTAGTTGTTACACCAATTAACCCTTAAGTTAAGAATCTTTCTTCAAAGTTAATAAAAAAACACATTTGAACTATATAGAGCTTGCAATTAGCTGTCTTGTTGACAAGCATGACACATGCACATTGTTAATATGTTCTCATGTGCCTTTTACAGCAGAGACTAGTTAATTCTAATCTGTTTGCCTCTTATCTTTCATTTTTTAAGTTACAACTAGTATCAGTCTTGAACTAAACAGAGTTTATTTAAAAAGAAAAAATAATTAAATGTTATGATATTATCTATAATAAAAAATAATTTAAATAAAAGAATAATTTAATTTATAAATTTTTTATTTTATATTGTTAATTTGTACATTGAATATAAATTAATAAAATGGAATAGTTTTAATTAAAAAAATAATATAAAATTAAAATAGTAACAAAAACATATTATTTTTATTTATATCATTTATACTATTTCATTTTAGTATAAAGTACGAATATATATAATTTTTAATTAAAATATTTAGTTAAGATATATTTAATTACAAATTAAATAATTATATATTTAATATATTATAAATTAATTAGATAATTAATGCTAATTATTTAAAAATGGATTTTAAACAAAAATAAAATAAATTTTTAATTTTATTTACATCGTTTCTATTATAAAATATTGGTACAATTTTATTCCATTAAAAACCATAATAACAGTAAGTATATAAATAAATAAAAGTTAAAATCACAATTATCATCTGCAAAGGCAAGGATAGTGAATCTCTCATCTCTTAGGAGTGAGTTAAGTTATAAAGCTATCTAGTTGCAAATAAGTTTCATTAACCATTGACTTGAGATTTGAACTTGAAATATGTGGAGGGCTGCATAAACATAAGTCACTGATATATAAAGTGATCATTTTCTCACAAATTGGATTGTCTTTCATTTCTCCACTTCACAAATAGGACACTTTTGTCACAATTCCAAACAATGTATTCCAGGAATGACAGCCGACTAATGCACCAAGTGGCGTTCTATGCATTGCAAAAGCCAAGAATATATCAAATAATAACTTATGGAATATAGTGTTGGAATATGTACATCTTTCAATAGGTTGAATTTAAAAATTTCTCAAGTCCCACATTGTTAGAATATCTTTTTTATTGAAAAAAAATCATTTAGTTTTACATTGCTCATGTGAGAAATATTAACTACCTTACTTCATTATATAAGGAGTGCACATATTTGATTTCAAATCACACCAAAAACTATTCTATTAGTTTTTCCTTCCTCACTCTCGTAACTCTGCGTCTCTCGAATTGTCGAAGCGCCGTCTTCTTCCCCTTTCTTCCTACTCGTTGAATTTTCCGAGTATTTTCTTGAATTCTCTTTAGAGAATTATGTTAATTTCTCCTCATTTGAGTTGAGAAATTTTCAAGTTTAATCTTTTGGATTCTCTTTGGAGAATTATTTGAATTTCTCTTGGAGAAATTATTATGAGTGGTCAAATGACCATTATTAATTTCTCTTTGGAGAATTATTTGAGTTTCTTTTTGTTTGAGAAATTATTATGACTGGTCTTTGTATCAGATACTACGAGTGGTGTTGATACTATATTTGAATGGTCTTGTACCATCAGAGGGTGTATTTCTAGACCGATTATCTATCATGCAAGTAGTAATCTTACAGTATAGAACTGGACTATTTTATCCTGGAGGCGGCGCGGTAGTTCGACTGTTTTGCATAATTTTGAGCAGTGCTACGAAACGTCTTAAAGAGAGCGACCTAGTCCGCGACTCAACCTGATAATTTCTTTGGTGGCAAATATTTTAAAATCCGAAAACAACAATTTTAAGACGTTTCAAACTGCCATGGCTACTGAAGAAATTATTGGTTCTTTTGCGGATATTGTCTTTGAGAAATCGTTCAGGTTTGAGAGAAGTCACTTCAAACGTTGGCAACAAAAGATGAAGTTCTTAATGTTGAAAAAAGTTGTTAACGTTCTGATCGATGACATTTTGCTGCTCCTTATGGATCAATCGAACAAACTAACGGTAGTAAATCTGGAGATTTAGAAGGAACACTTAATATTGTTGAAGTTGAATTTGTTGCACAGATTAAAGCGAATGATTTACAGCATAGTAAAGAAATCACCTTATAGAAAGAGAATGAAAATCTCTACAAAATCATATTTTGAATAGACTCGCAGATGATCTGTATGATAATTACAGTTGATGTGATACTGCAAAACAAGATTGAGAGACTCAGAAAAAAGAAGTATGACGTAGAAGCTGGAGCAAAGAAGTATGTTGCTAGCCGCTACTTCAAGTATCAAATGCAAAAATGTAAGGTCGATAGAGGCTCAATGTTACGAACTTCAAAAGATTGCTTAAAAGATCGTCACAAAAAATATGTGTTTAAATGAACAATTTCAAATTGGTTTTATTATTGACAAACTACCCCATAGTTTGAATGTTTAAAAAATAAAAAGGGAATCTTAGAGACAATATCAAAAAGAAAAAGTTTTGGTTGTTTCAAACAACAAAAATAAATTCGGTGTAGTTCTGAAGCCATTTGGAAAATAATTAAAGAATCAGAACCGCAATATTGTGAACCGAATTAAGAATGGGAATCCTTCTATGATCCTAATAGCTCCAACTAGGCAACAACCATCACCTAAAAGAAATGACGTTGGTTTCCCTTTGTTTTAACTATGGAAAATCAAGTCATATGACTAAGAAATGTAGAAGTAAGCTTGAACTTGGTGTTGTCCCTAATGCACAGGTTAACCTGACTAATAGGTAATTTATTGCTATGGTCATTGAAATCAACATGGTTGATGGATATGTTGGTTGGTGGATAGACACATGCGTCTCTCGTTGTGTCTGTTATGATCATGTTATATTTAAACATACATGAATACTAAAGATAAGAAAGTGTTGTTGGGAGATGGCCAAACCACGAATGTTGCTGGAATTGTATACATGGAGCTAAATTTCACCTTCAAAAAGACTTTAATCTTAAGGAACGTTATGCATGTTCCTAAGATTAGAAAGAATATTGTTTCTAGTTTTCTTTTAAATAAGATAGGGTTTAGTCAGTCTATTGGGGTAGATTTGTACGCCATTACGAAGAATGAAGTTTATGTTTAAAATTTTTGTAAAGAATTTGCAAATGATATAATAAGAATCTGTAGTGATAGATAAATTGTGTGATTCTAGTTTATTAATGAATTTTATACATGGAATTGTACATGAAACGGCTGCACCATACTATCTTACAATGAATGGTAAAACAAAAAGAAATAACAGAACTCTTACTGAACTTGTTGCAATTATGATGAATTCCGGTGCTGCACCTCACTGGTGGGGAGAAATTTTATTGACTGTTTGCAATGTCCTGAATAGAGTCCCCAAGTCAAAATGTAAGATCTCTCCTTATGAGATATTAAAGAAAAGACAACCAAACTTGTCTTATTTGAGAACTTGGGGTTGTCTGACTTATGTCAGAATTCCGGATCTGAAACGAGTTAAACTCGCTAGTTGACCATATGAATGTGTTTTCATTCGGTATGCAGCAAATAGTAAAGCATATAGGTTTTATGACCTAAAGGCAAAAGTGATCATAGAATCAAATGATGTTGAATTCTATGAAGAAAAATTTCCTTTCAAATTGAGAAATAGTGGGGGCACACAATCGAGTCACATTCCTGTGATAAGAAGCACAGAAAGCAACGACAATGTAGAAACAGAACTTCGACGAAGTAAACGAGTAAGAGTTGCTAAAGACTATAGGCCTGATTATGCGGCTTATAATGTAGAAGAATATTCAATGAATCTTCAAGAAGCCTTGTCATCTCTGGATGTTTATTTATGTCAAGAAGCTATCAATGATGAGATAGAATCTCTAGAATCTAACAAGACCTGGAACTTAGTAGACTTGCCTCCTGGTTGCAAATCAATCGATTGTAAATGGATTTTGAAAAAGAAACTAAAACCTGATGGAAATATTGATAAATACAAGGTTCGCCTTGTTGCCAAGGATTTTAGACAAAGAGAAAATATAGATTTCTTAGACACCTTTTCTCCTGTCACTAGAATTACATCCATTAGGGTACTTATTTCAATAGCTGCTATTTATAACTTAATAGTACACCAAATGGATGTTAAAACAACTTTTTTAAATGGTGACTTAGAATAAGAAATATATATGAAACAACCAGAAGGGTTTGTGATCTATGGATAAGAAAACAAGGTCTGTAAGTTAGATAAGTCTTTGTGTGGGCTAAAACAAGCTCCAAAGCAATGGCATGTAAAGTTTGATAACTTAATGATATCGAATGTGTA